GCTGTATGGTTTGCGTGGACCGCGATCACTAACAGACCAATAAGCGAGTCTACGTGGGATTAGGCGCTCTTGGTGTAGTGAATAAATATGTTGTACGGCTGCAGCAGCCAACAAGTATGGTCAAGGAAACCGGCGCGGCTTTGAAACGAAGCCTATCTGGGCAGGGGATGCGCTATCATACGCCCACTTACCCTGCCTAAATACCACTCGGTTCCAATTCGCCCCAGCTAACAATTTATGACCTAGTGGACGCAGATTCACGTGATACTGGTCAACCTTCATGGGAGAAAAAGCAAGATACTGCTAAATACAGTAGGCGCGACCCTACTCTTTCGTGGTTATTGCTGGCCACTGGTGGCACGTACTGACATGCAGCCATAACTGACCTTTATGCATCGTTGGAATGTTTGAACGAAGGCCGACTCAGGCACCAATTCTTAACGCCGAACCTCACTGTCCACTGTTCACTATAGTACCATCAACTTAAGCCTTACATAGAATGATATTCCTGGAGCAAATATGGGAAGGTACACAGGATAGCTCACTGACAAACTGGCCACCAGCACTACTACTAGGACGTCTGCACCAGCTTGCTTTGAGGTAAATATTGAAACAGATACTGTTTACTTAGAAGCCATAAAAGTTGACGATACCTTCGGATCAATTAGACTGCAGGCGACGGCGAACAAGGCCTGCTCTGGCCATGGGAAGAACCAGTCGATGGTGGTGCAGTTCACAAGGCCCGGAAAGTTTCGGCACCGGTTTCGAAGGTTGTCACCAACTGGGCTCATACAAAGAGCCAAGTGGAGACGAGCGGTGCAGTTCTTGTGGAACCACTTCCAGACTGACTCCTTGGTCACGGAGGCTGTTGCTCCACCGATCGCCTTGATGGCCGCTTCCGCGGTCGGCCAAACGTTATTAATTATGCCGTCTTTGTCCTCCTCGGAAAACAGAGCTACCAAAGCTCCAGTTGTCAGGATGTTGTTGATCAGTTCCAGAAATCCTAAGGAGGGAATTCCCATGTTGAGGGGGTCACGGTTTCAAATCACAGCGTTCGCTACTTCGAGTTTGCTTGGGAAGACTTTTGTATCAATAAAACTGCCCGCCCTGGTTTGTCAAAAAAACTTCAGCTATCCAATGAAATTCCTGCCATTTTGAGTAATAAACATATGCAAATGGTCTATCATGCTTTTAACTCCACCCAGCCGTTCAGAAGTCACCTGGGCGTTCTTCCAAATTTCCATTATAATTGCGCTATTTTCCCGAACGGAACTTGTAATAAAACGTCTTGTGCTGGAAAAGTGCTTATCTCCTTTTTTATCCCTGTTTTGTTAATCGTCTGAGGAACATAGGATGCCAACGAGGAGAACCGAGTTGGGCTGTAATGTGACTGGAAATTAATCCTAGACGAAACTATCCGACACGTGAACCGATAAGTAGATCCGTGTGAGGCGGGTGACGTAAGGACACGCTAATACTCGTCGAAACCTCGGCAGTTGCCTAAAAATAAGTTGTAAAATTGTGGGGACCGCAGCTACGTTGAGTAAACCGGACGAAAATTGCAGACCCCCCTACACGAACACAAGTTGGCAACTCGGAGGCTAGACTCGGGCTCTCCGATTGCAACTCACATTAGAGAAACCGGCCGTACTTTTGACCTTCAGGGAGCGACTATCTTAGGCCAGGGCAAATCAAGGACAGAACGAATAACACTTGTGACGTGATACTCAGATGCTTACTCCATCAACAGACAATACTGACCTCCTGCAGTGTATACAGTCCTGCGCCAATAGAGGCACAAAGACCACGACAAGACGGGCACGCAGGATTTGAGCCGCGCAGACGGCCCGATGATGAACTCATCCGACGGGGGAGAAGAAGAACGGCCGGGACAAACAATCCCCGAAGAAGCTCAACACCCCCCCCCCCCCCCCCC